CTCGTCCATGGTGACGGCAGCCGTGATGGTGTCTATCCTCTGGCCTTCCCTCTCGGCCGGCCTCGTCAGTTTGAGGTAGCATGCCCTGGCTATCCTCTGGTTTCCTCTGGCGTAGCCGATGCCGTCGTTGGTGGGGAACTTCAGGCACAAGTGCTTCATGGAGATGATGGCCTCCAAGTCCTTCAGCGCTGGCCGGCCCAAGATCAGGTTGTGGGCGCACTGGAGGTTGACCACCATGAACTCCATGTTAATTGTGGCGTGGTGGGGGCCGTCACCGACCTCCACGGGGAGGACTATCGTGCCCTCGGCGTCGATAGAGTCCCCGGTGAAGCCGGATAACGGTGTCTTGATCGGCTTCAGCAGAGCTCTGCCCAGCTTCAGCTGCTTGAATGTGTCCAGGTACATCACGTTGATGGAGCTCCCCGTATCGATGTAAGTACGGTGGATGATGGAGTCACCGATCTCACACCGGATGACGAGGGCATCCCTGTGTGATTCCGTACCCGGAGGCAGATCCTTGTCGGTGAAGGTGATCGCCTCCATTCACTGTTTCTTCGGCTGGGGGGGAACGTGGGACACCTCCCCAATGTAGAGGGATTGGGCCCATTTCTTTCTCTGAGTGGCAGAGTCCCCCCCAGTGTTCCCGCCTACGATGAGGTGGATGTGATTCTTCTTCGGCGGAGGCTCTTCGAAGTCCTCGTCGTCGCTGAGCCTACCAATCTCCCGCTTCTTCGCAGAGGGTTCGCCCCCATGTTTGCCGGTGTTTACCCAAGTGTTCTTGCGTGGGCCACCTTTGACAAACTGGGAGAGTTCCCCCTGGCGAATAAGGCGCTCGATGGCCTTCTTCAGTGTGATGCAATCGTCGGTGTTGTGCGACAAGTTCTAGTGGAACCGGCAGTATGTGCCGCCCTGCTAGATGGCAAGGATCTCCTCGGCCGGCCGAGGAGCCTGCTCGATGAGGCCGTGCTTTTCGGCATAATCGAGGATGGTGCCGACCGGGTGGGTGAGGGTTACCCCCGACCGTTCCAACCTCGGCCGCCAGTGGCGATCCTTCTTACTCTGTCCACCAGAGCCGTGACGGCCCTGGGCACCCTGGCCGGCCGGGGACGAACCCGGGGCCGGCGAAGGATTTGTCTTCTTGGAGGGATGGCCCCCCTCCTTCTTGTGATTATGGAGCTCGTCGGCGTCGGCGTACAAGCCTCCGCGCTGGAGCGCCTTGGCGTACGACCTCGGGGGGTCGGTGATAAGGCTCCTAGTGTACGGGGAGCTGCAGAGGGCTCCCTGGTACAAGGCGAGGAGGGTGCGCTCATCGGCCCCCTCGACCTCCTCGGTCTCCCTCGTCCACCGATCGATGAATGACCGGAGGGACTCCTCATGCTGCTGCTTGACGGAGAGGAGGTGGGTGAAATACTTCTTCGCGTGCTTCCTCCCGGCAAAGTGAGTGAGGAAGCGTTGGGCGAGATCCTGCCATGAGTCGATGCTCCCTTCGGGGAGCGCGTTGAACCACTCGTACGCTGGCCCCTCGAGAGTAGAGAGGAACCAACGGCAGAGGTATTCGTCGGACGCGTTCACCATCAACATGTTGTTCTGGTAACGGCTGAAGTGTTCCTGGGGGTCTGATCGGCCGTCGTAGGACTTGATGGCGTTCCCCCTGTACTTCTCCGGGATGGGGGCCGAGAGGACCCTGTTGGTGAAAGGGGTCCTGGTCCTGACCTGGATGATGGGGTCACCTCGCCCTTCGGCCAGCTCCCTCTCCAGGGCGCTAACCTTGTTCATGAGCGCGTTGAGGCCGGGGTCGTTGGAGGCGCCGGCCGTAGGGATGTTGGCCGACTGCTTGGCCTCCATCTGAGCCAGCCTCCTATCCAGCTGGGCGATGACCTCGTCCCGGGGGTCCCTGGCGGCCGCAGCGGCGCCCGGCTGGTTCCTCATGCGCTCGTTGTGAGCCGCATTGATCTGGTGACGCACGTCATCCTCGTGCAACTTTCCCTTGCCCTTGTCCGGGCGGGGCTGGTCCGTTGTCCGGGACACAGACCCCAAGCTTTCCCTCGGTGAGCCAGGACGAGGCTCACCAATCCGTCCCGCCATCCTCTCCGAAACCAGACGACGGCGCGTGTCACCTAGCCTATTGAAGGCAGAGGCTTTTCCACGCGGGGGGGTTCTGACCCAGGCTGGCGATGATGACCGACAGCGCGGCCTGGACCTGCGGATCCACGGACGGAGAGGCCGCGGCCATAGGCTGGGCCGGGGCGTGATCCATCTTCTCAGCTCGTTTCTTGTCCAGACCGAGGCGGGCGTCGGGGACTCCGCCGTTGAGTTGGTTGCGGAGGTCCGTCGTGAGGTTGAAGGCCTCCTGGAAGAGGTCCCCTCCGCCGGCCTGGTCGGCCGTGGTGTCCTCATCGTGTTCCCTGGGCTCTTGGTCCTCAGGGATGACTTTGCTGACGAGGTTGCGGTTTGACTTAGTTCTCCCAATGATCAGTGGTTAGCTGTGCTTGGTAGCGACGAAGGGTGCTAACTTGATTGTTCTAGCTCTCAACGAGAGCACCAAATGATAGAGTATATCTAGAGAGAAGTGAGAGCTAGAGAGAGAAGTGCAATAATATGCTTCAATAGAATGATTTTGTAACCCCTATAACTACTCCCAAGGGGAGTATTTATAGAGAAAATACGGGCTGGGCTCCCAAACCTTGGGCTTGGGAGGCCCATTTACAACTGGACCGCTACTGGGCCGAATACAAAGCCACTAATGGGCTGTACAAATGAGTAAGTGTAGAATCCGGTTCTGTGGAGTCTTCGTGGCCGACGAGGGCGTGGCCGACGAGGGCACGGCCGACGAGGGCACGGCCGACGAGGGCACCCGGGTTCTTTGGGCTCAGGACCATAATCTGAGTTGGCCCCTTTTCGGCCCACGGGGGCGTCTTGGCCGACGAGGGCGCCACTCTGTGTCTTGTGCTTTCTGTTCTTCCGAGTATGTGGGTCCGGGGGCTCAGACCCATATACTCCATCAACAGGCTTATAAAAATAATGTAAAAATTGTAAGTTACCTGTGTGTGGAGGTGGGAGAGGAATAAAATTCAAAAGTCTCTTTTGAAGCTCCCAGTTTGAATCAACAAAATGTCCAGTAACACACATATAAGAAATCTTTTGCACTTTTGACTTCCAAATGTCAGTTGTCAGTGAAATATTTTTCATGCTTCTTAAGGACAAATGTAGCTTCTTCTTCTCAATATCATAAACACTGATGACATCCTTCTTTACCATGGCACGTGATATTTTTTCAAAGTGCGGCAGGTTAACTCTAAACATGAATGTGAAAGTATCACTTTCCACGACACTTAGGGCTTGTTCATTAGTTAGAATCCAATGGGCAATAGCTTCTCTCTGCTTTGAATGGTCGTACTTACCATCTGACAATGAATTCATTTCATAGGCAGATTTCTCTGGTTGTAATTGTAAGGTTTTCTGTTTTCTCTTGTTAAGTTTATTTTGCAAACACCTTTTCAAATTATTCAAGAGATGACTAGTTGTAGAAGTAGCTGATTTGCTGAGAAGGGACTTACAGTGTTTGCATTGAAATTTTTCAACTCCATCCTTGGTAGTCACTTCATTAAACTCACAATGGGCTTTGGAAACCTTCTTTCTTTTCTTCCTTTGAAAATGGCTTTCATCCTCATTGTTTCCAGCATCAACCTTATCATCATCATTTTCATATTCGAAGTGTGTATGCACTTCATCCAAATTCTGAAACTGTGCAGCATCAACGTTATTTGTGCCAGTCAATTGTTGTTGCTGCATCACCTGCTATTACAAAATAAAATAATAAAACTTTTGTCCAACTGATTCAATTCGACATTATATAATAGAAGTATATCAAAAATAATAAATAATATTATTTACCTCATCAACTTCTCCGTTTCCAGCCTCATCTTGTTGAGGCGAGTGATGGTCATTCATTGTTGAGAAATGTGAAACTGAGAAATTAACACAAAGCAAGGAGTGACTATTAAGAACTGAGAAGTTTTGTCAGTACAAACTCATTTATTTGATTCAACTGGAGTCACTACCTACTGACATTTGATATACCAATTCCAATATTCCAAAAGTTGTATACAACATCTTGTATATATCATTATACCAAATACCAAAATCATTATGAAAGCCGCTCATTCTAGGTATGTTCTATCTATCCAACTTCTTTTTAAAATTGCAGCCAAGTACACAAATTGTAGTGAATGTATAAATCTATAAATCTTACTCACAGACCAGTGAATGTATCAACATATATGCAGAGTAGCCTATAAAGAAATAAAGAAAGGAACACAGGAAAAACATTCCATACAAACATGAAAAATTAAAGCTCTGATCGAAATAAGAAGACAGTCCTCGAAAAATCTCAACCTGAAATACGAAGCCGCCCAAAACAGGAGATGAAGCCGGACAATCAGATCAACGAGGAGATGAAGTTCGTTGTTTCGCGAGGAGATGAAGCCGGCCTGTTGATTGCTTAACAAAAGAACGGGCACGACGCTGATCACAGCTCGCACATGTGTTTTGCTTCATCTGGTTAATTGAGTGTGACCTGATCTACGGAAGATGGAGTTTTGTACTAGCCAAAGCGGATGGGGTCACTGGGTTTATTTTTTTACTTAAGTGGGCTAACTTAAGTGGGCTCTAAAGTAGTTAAGTGAATAGTTGGATTTCCTTACACTACTACGGAGTACGTATTCTTATTATTATTATTATTATTATTATTATTCGAATATATTTGATTAGTTATCGAATCGGATACTGCAATATTTGTATTTGTATTTGAATATTAATCGAATCAAAATAACTATTAGTATTTGTATTTGATTTTACCGAATTCGAATCCATTTATACGATATCGAATCGCGAATCGAACAAAAAATATTTGATTCGTATACATCCCTACGTGTGGCTCCCTTCTCAGCATCCATTTGCATAGGGGTTGATCCCAATATAAAACTGGGCAATGAGAATGAGGGGAGCTCATATGACTCCATAAGAAATCATATTTGACTCATATTTTTATTAAATCATCTACCATGGTCTTTTGGGAGTGTTTGCGGGAAAAAAGCCAGATAATCAGAATTTGTGGTGTGATATGATGACAACAACACAAACAAAGAATCAAACTGCAGGTAAGGCAAAACTTTCTTGTGTCCACTGTGGAGGGTCGACCACTATACAAGGATCCGATTTCTCAAAATCAGCAACCTGCACATAAAAATTAAGTGTTAGCCACACCTACAAGAATAGTTTATATTTTTAATATGTACTTTTATATTTACACGATGTAGTATGAGTCTGACACTCTGACTAATGATGTTCATGAATGGCGTGTAAAGAGATTCATGAGTTAACAAAAGCTACTCACTTTTTCGTTGCAGGTTGGACAGTAGTGGTATTTATGCCAAAGACAATCCATTGAAGGGCAGAGAAAGCAAACTCCAAGCATCATTGGCATCATACATGCAACACAAGCTGCTAAACTTGGTTTTGACCTGCGGTTTACACAAAACCATGGACATGAACATGTTAAGTGGGAGGGCTAGGGGGGGGCAAACAAGCACAACAGCCTTCATAATACTTCATATTATACATTCATCCCTCCATCGACTTTTACTTGTGTTACTCGAGCAACGAGGCAAGCTTGAAAAAAATGCCTATTTAATTTTTGTAATATGTAATTCAGAGTAAAAAATTAAGCGAATATATAGATCCTACATTAAGTGTGTACAAACAAGTTGTGTCATAACTGGTATCTAATAAAGAAGGATATTAAAGGATAAGGTAAGAATGGAATTTGACCAGTGAATTGTAACCAAGGCATTCGAAATGCAACACAGGAGGTCCTAATATTAGAACTGATTTGCTATTAGCAGTAAAGTACAAATAAAGGTTTTGCTTCTATTAAGCCTCCCAGGGTTCTAAGAAGCATGTATTAGCTGAGCTCTTTAACCCTTTTACAGAGATCTAGAGACATGGTTTATCAGGTTAAACTAAATTGATTGATTTCTTCCACAGATACTCTTGATATAGGGGCCCTATAAAAGATCCAGTTAATCTCTGATTAAAAAAAGCAACTCATTGTAAGATATAATTAAGCATTGCACACAGTATCTGCAACCAGCTCATTAGTAAAACCTTGCTTTTGTACATCGAGCAAAAAATAGTCATAGCAGTTCGAAAGCATCAGTAAAACGTAGCGCTCACCAATGATTAGTGTTAGAAGTAGGAAATAAAAAATACTCCCTCCGTCCCATTAGACTTTGACAACTTTCTTTTTTGGGTTGTCCTAAAAAACTTTCTTATTAAAGCATCTAATTTGTGCTTCTGCACATTTCTCTCTCCTCTGCACAGATCTCAACCACACAGTTTTTACTATTCTTATTTCTAACCTACTTTGCACTTGGCAAAGTCTACCCGAACGGAGGTAGTATAGCCTTAAGGTAAGATGACAACAACGACATCCAAGCCTTATTCTCAAAAGAGATTGAGGTTGGCTAACATGAATCACCACATTACACAGGGGTATTGAATTCAAATAGTCTTACAGAGTGAAATAAAAAAAAATAGTCTTAGCAGTATGAAACAAACAGATAGTCTAAACCCATTATTATTAGCCAAACCACATTTGAATAATGAAATCAATTAGATTGTAGATCATAAACTATATGTCTTCTAAATATTTATAATTGTAATCCTTAAGATATCACAGAGATGCCTGGGGATCTGTTATTAACAAAAGTTAAAACCTAAAATCTATAAAATTAAGTAAAAACTGCTGAAAGAGCTCAAGCAGACGAAGGGGAATTTAGAGAGATACTTGACGACAGTCAGCCCGGTGTTTCCACAGTGGAGGCAGATGAACGGTGCCGGAGTATCTCTGTATATGGTCTGCTGAATCGGGGCTCCCTTCGGGTCTCCGACGATGGCGCTCAAAGGTATGCCGGCGGCTTGGTAAGCGTTTTCGTTAACGAAGTACTGCGGCTGCGGTGGCGGGACAGGCGCCTGATATGCCGCATTAATGGGAATCCCGATTGCTGGTTCGTCTGTCTTCGACATAGCTGGGGATTTAATTGGAGCTGTAGAAGCAGAACTGCAGAAGTCCTTACCGCGTACTATATAGGGCTTAAAATCGCAATAGAGCTATAGAAATGGATGATACGTCGTCGGAAGTTTCTATCTGAATTCGGACCGTCTAGAGACATGTTGACTTTGACTGTATTTCTCATTTATTTGATCAAATTTATTTCAAGTCCTAGCGGGCCCAGGTACATGGATAGAGACCGGAATTTGGAGATCTCATTTTCGGGCCGATTAGGAATGGTTATTTGGGTTATCGTCTCGGGCTGGCCGGTCTTGGAGTGGGAACTCGTGGGATTCGAGACTGGTACCGGGAGATCTCACTTTCGGGCCAGATCCAGGCGACCGGCCGATCCTGATCTTGTCCTCGATCTGATCCAGGCATATTTTAATACTCCGTAAAAAAGCTAAGTATAAATGTTTTAAAAACATATGCATTGTTTACGAAATAATATACTTCTTCCGTTTCATAAAAGTTGCAACATTGGAATTTGTGCACTATTGACACACCTTACTTTGACTACGATTTTCTAATAATATATATAATAAAATATTATGTAAAAAATATTAATAAATTTGTATTAATGTATGTTTCCAATATATTAACTTTTTTTAATGTTTACTAATACGTAAATAAATATAATTACAGTCAAAGTTGCGCGTTGTCAAACGTGAAAGTCAAATTGTTGCAACTTTTATGAAACGTAGGATAGTATTTATTAGAGTTAGATACGTCGAATTTAAATAATGAATGTGCCACATCCCACCACAATTGATATATTATTTGAATTTCGGATGCAAAATCAGTATAAGAACTAAAAATAAATGAAAAATTTAAGTTGAACTCACTAATCGCGTGCACAAGATGATTGAGATTATTGATCAAGAAACAACCAACTGGGTACCAGTAAAATTGAGTCAACATAAGTTGAACAAGATTAAAAAGTGAGATAACCAAACAAGAGATCGAATGAAGATAATAGTCTATAACACATGATAATCTTTCTTTGCTATATATAAACCAAAAATCTATTTGAACTAAATATGTTAAATACACACTTTGTGTTTCAATCAGAGCCTCACTCATTATCTATCAATCTATTACTAAAGTTCAATTCACACTGTCTCAATTAACTGTTCGGTTGATGCTTGGGCCCTCAAGAACATGTACTTAATAAGAAAACTATTTCTTCAAAGTTCATTTTTAAAAAGACACTTTCCGCCACTAGGCAAAACGGTACCTAACGTTTTCCGATAGAACAGAACAAATTACTCGATGGATTGAAAACATTGATGAAAATTGTACAATAGCGTCATGCACCAATGCCACATCACTATCATGTTTCCAAGGGCTGACATCACTACTAACATCACATGCAGTCGGGTCAACATGATGCAGTGCCATCAGTGTGTGTGCTCCCTAAGTCTATTAGGGGACACTTTTTGTTAAATCTCACACCGGAAATGTTTGAGTCAATGAAATGCTATATTAAGACATGAGCTACTCATCCTATCTTGTTGATCTTTTAGGATGGAACCATGGGTCTTAACATGGTATCAGAGCCAAATCGATCCATGGTGTGGGTCCCCTAATGAAAAATGATTGACGCGAATATAAAAATGACAATAAAGAATTGACGAAAAAATGAATGACGGCACGATCCAGACGAAGAGTTTGGTCGTGAGGAGAGGTGTTAAAAATCCCACACCGGAAATGTTTGAGCCAATGAAGTGCTATATTAAGACATGAGCTACTTCTCCTATCAGGTTGACCTTTTATGATGAAACCCCGAGTTTTAACACGTTTGGCCTTTGATTACCTAGAATGTTTGGGCTTATGGCCCAAACCTTGTATTATACCTCTAAATAGCACCTTTCCCTTTAGGAAAAGTTTCACCAATTATTGCTTACAATGTTATTTTGCCAAATTTTATATAACTTTCTTACTCTAGAATTACGTTGATTTCTCTCTAGTTTCTACCATCCTGGGTTCCATAACCTATAATAGCCTATTTGGCTATTTTGTAGGCCGAATATCTATTTTTTTGTAGGCCGAATATCATTGAAATAGATTTTGTACCTCAAGAATCAATATTTGAACGTACTCACTCCTTGTTTGAATGTATTGCACAACAAAGTGAGTAATAACTTGTTAGATTTGGATTTATTAACATATACACTCGCGTTCATATAGTTGCAAGATTGTATTATAATTATAAACTAGCACAGTACCCGTGCACGGGGAATAATAGTTGGTCTATATATATTTTTATTACAATACAATTTACATTTACATCATTTCAAAAATGGAGTACGATAAGTGAATTAGTGAATATAAGAAAACATAAATCCATGCAACAAGTATTCAAAGTAAAAGAAAATCAAAATATACTCCGTATAAAAATCAACACCATCCATTAGAATTTGCTACGTAATAATAATTAGTATTGTTGGTAACAGATAATGAAATATTGAACTTAATTGTTAGAGTTTTGAAAAACTACTTTACAGAGAACTTTGAGAAGTAATGTCTTATGACTTTCTTTTATTATCATTGCGTAGTATTAAAATCATCAATCTATATTTTCTACACTCGATAACGTCACACGTATAAACGACTATGTATGAGAGAGGAAAGTCTTCCGCTCAATTGTTTAAGTCGACTTATCTTATACTTATACTCCATACTTGTTATATCTAAAAGCACTACGTATGAGAGAGAAACTTTTCTTATTCAATTGTTTTAGCCAACCTATCTTTTTATAACACTATGTATGAGAGAAAAAATTCAACCGCTCAATTTTTAGTTGGTTTATCTTATAACCAAAAGCACTACTACATATGAAAGTGACAATTCTCCCGCTCAAATTTTAGCCAGTTTATCTTATACCTAAAATCACAATGTATGAGACAGCGAATTCTCTCGGTCAATTGCTTTATATCTATTATCTTATACCTGATAAAAAAGCACTATGTATGACAGAGAAAATTTTCCCAGTGAATTTTTAATCGTCTTATCTTACCTTATACCTAAAATCATTGCGTATGAGAGAGAAAATTACCCCATTCAAGTTTTATCCGGCTTATCTTCTTATACCTAAAAGCACTACGTATAACAGAGGAAATTCTTCTGCTCAATTATTAGCCTATTTATCTTATCTTATCTTATCTTATCTTATCTTATCTTATTTTATCTTATCTTATCTTATCTTATCTTATCTTATCTTATCTTATCTTATCTTATCTTATATACATTTATTATACCTAAAAGCACTACATACGAGAGAAGAAATTTTCCCGCTCAATTATTAGTTCGCTTATCTTATCTTATACCTAAAAGCACTACGTATGAAAGGAAATTCTTCCGCTCAATTATTAGTCCGCTTATCTTATATACCTAAATGCACTATTTATGAGAGAGAAAATTCTACCGCTCAATTATTAGTCTGCTTAATTTATACCTAATAGCACTATATATAAGAGAGGAAATTCTTCCGCTCAATTATTAGTCTTCTTTTCTTATACCAAAAAGCACTACATATGAGAGACGGAATTCGCATTGTCGATTATTAGTATGTTAATCTTATACCCAAAAGCACTATACATGTAAGAGAAAATAAACATGCTCAATTATTAGTCCGCTTATCTAGTCTAGTTTACCTAAAAGCATAACATATGAGAGAGAAAATTATTCTGCTCGAATATTAGTCCATTTATCTTATCTTATACATAAAAGACTACATATGAGAGAGAAAATTATCCCGCTCATTTATTAGTCCTCTTATTTTATACCAAAAAATACTACATATGAGAGAGAAAATTCTTCCGCTCAAATGCTCAATTATCTAATGTTACTAACCATATTGAAGTTGAAATCTACCTATCTGAAATGTCACATACTCATAATTAGAAACTATTTCTTTCTTTAATATGGAATAATCCGTTTTGAGGTTAAAAATAGAAAGGTTTTTAATAAACCTTAGATTTGTTTTTGAATTATATATTTGTGATATTAGTTTCATATAAAAATCGTTCAAAATATTGGATTTTGATATGTTTTCTAAAAATTGGATCAATAATGAAAAAGTTATAACATTTTAAAGAAAAACAAGGTTGTTTTATGATGAAGAAAGGGGGTTTTAAAAATGTGTAATTGATGTTTGTGCAAAGGAGATCAGAATAGAATGAACTTCAAATTTGTTACTTTAAAAAAAAGTGACAATGTTTTTAAGTCACATATCAAAATTCACAATTGTGAATTTTATAAAATTTAAAATGTTGCATCTATTTAAGAACGGGGATAGTATATAGAATTATGGTCACTTAAAGTTAGTACGTTGTAAGTCATATTTTCATCAACTATCCTTATTCGGTCATAAATTAGGAATCGATTATTTATTTAATACGGAGTATGAATCATCTGTTTTGGGGTTGGAAAATAGGAAGATTCTTTAAAAATCTTCATATATTTTTTTTGAAATTTATATAGGCAATATTGGTGTCAAATGAAAGATCATAAAAATTTACTCTCTCTGTCCCGTTAAAAGGTACCACTTTCATTGTTTGGATGTCTCATTTAAAGGTTCTCATTCATTTTTAGGAAATAATTTACTCTCTTTAATTGCACATTTAATCAAACTTCTCTTTCCTACTTTAATTGCACATGTCAAGTCTCACAATTTCTCCTTTCCCAATTTATCTCCCTTTAATTACTTTCACTTTATATGTTTACTTTTTCTAAATTTTCTCTTTCCTATATATCTTTTTTACACAAATTACTTAATTTAACCATTTGCCTAAGCAATCGTGTCATCTACCCACGAGAACCTATCAACACGATGGAGGGAGCATAAACTTTGATGTTTTTTTTTTGCAAAAATTGGATTAATAATGAAAATGTTATAACCTCTTTAAAACGAAAAATATGGTTTTCCGATCATGGGGCCCACCCATTTTTAGAATTACTCCGTGTACATTGCCACATGGCACATGCACAATAATAGCAATGAAGTGAAATATAATGTGGGGAGAGTCATATCTCAATTTAGAAGGTAAAATGATACTATGTATTTTAATGAGTCATTCCTTTTCTTATTTATAATATAAACAGATGTCTTCTCATACGT